TCTCAAAAGGAAAACAATTTTTTTTTCTGGTTTGTTCAGTTTCTTGTCTGCTGTTCTTTTTAAAGCTTGAATACTAAGATAATATTTTCTGAGATGCACAATACCTCCCCCAGCTATAATCCAGCCAATAGTACCACAATACTGAAAGAAGGAGTTTTATTTCTCTTTCAAATATAATTACATTTTTTAAAAATTAATTATCTTTTTAGTTCAAAGACAAACTCCAATAAGCAAATAAAATACATCTGCCAGTACTAGATATGCAGAGTGGTACCAAGAGGCCTGTCTGTGCTCTTCAAAGTTTCTAACATTACAGGAAGGTATTGCTGATCTCTGCACAATATGCAAACACTGGGCATCAGATCAACACTGCCAAGAAAAAGAGACAAGTAAAAGACTGCTGCATCAAGTACTGCAACAACTTGTTGTAGCCATGTGCAATTACTGCATTACAGATGGGAAAGTACAAAGGAATGCACAATCAACCTCAGTAGGTCATGTTCTAAATAATTAATGCTACTTTCCTTCTTTAAGTCTGAATATTGAAAAATGTCATATAAAATATGCTATGGATGTGACTAAGTTATCATTATGCTGTGGCTACACTTCCTTGAATAGATGTGCTGATCTAATAGCTTGCTGCTGCAGAACAGGGGCATCACTTTTCCCTTTTTTTCCCCTTCTCCCCACTTTCCCTCACAGCTCATATCCTCATCAGACTTTTTAAGAACTAAATGAACTCACAAAACAGCAGAAAACTTAGTAAAAAACAGGTTTTTCTGCTATTCCATGGAATTAAATTGGCTTATGAAAACTCCAATGACCTAGGGAGGGTAGAAGATAGAAAATAAGGAAAAGATGAAGTAATAGAGACATATGGCCTAGAAATAGAACTGCTAAATGCCTAAGGAACTGGCTGGATGGCCACATCCAAACAGCTGCAGCTCAATGTACCAAGCAGAAACCAGTGGTGTCCCTCAAGGGCCTAGAGTAGGGCCAATACTGTTTATTATCTTCAGCAAAGAGACACAGACTGTGGGATCTGGATTCTGCCCCTCCAGTCTCCTCTAGTGAGACCCCACCTGAAGTGCTGGGAGCTGAATAATGATGTGGACCTGCTGGAGCAAGTCCAGAGCACCACTCCTATGAAGAAAGGCTGTCAGAGCTGATATCGTCCAGCCTGGAGAAGAGCAGGCTCTGGAAAGACCTTACTGCAACCTTTCAGTAATTAAAAAAGGCTTATGAGGAAGAGATAGAGGCCTTTTACTGGGATCTGTACAATGTGCACGTACAGTGATGGCACAATGTGCAGTGGTTTTAAATTTAACGAGGGCAGATTTAGACTGGATAAAAGGAAGAAATTCTCTATGATCAGGATGATGAGACACTGGGAGAAGTTGCTCAAGGAAGCTGTGGATGTCTCATCACTGGAAATGTTCAAGGTCAGGTGGGTTCTTAGGAGAACCTGGTCTAGTGGAAAGCGCCCCTGCCTACTGCAGGGGGATTGGAACTAAATGATCTTTAAAGGTCCCTTCCAGCCCAAACCATTGCATCAAACAATTACACAGAAAATGGGACCTGGGCCTTTTTGACAAGAACTGTACCTTGTGAAACTGTACCTTATGAATTAGAATCAGTTACAAACTGCAAAAAGCAGGCAACAACAGTGATCACACTACAGTGAAGAGGACATCTCCTTGTTTACAGGCTAAAAGGACATTTGAAAATAACCTTTTCGTAAATCACCTCACAAGTCTTGTTTCCTTCATCAAGGGGATATTGAAAAGATTAAAAGAAACAGTGTGAAGAAAAAAAAAGTTGTTAGTTACCTTTCCATTCTTTACACAATAAGCAGTCAGAGTACTAAGGTTTTTCTTTATCTCAGGTCCTAACTACAAATATCCAAATCATTCCCTCCCTCAAAAATTGACAGTTTTGCCCACTGTAATGAAAGTGTATTTCATTACATGCAACAGTAACATCTTTCCCGTGAGAAAGCAACTGTTTATCCAGCACAGCCTTTAAGTAACGGACAGAACTGCAAGGTTCCATGGTGTGGGAGCAAACACGAATTCCCTAACTGAAAATAGCCTAATGTAGACTAAGCAAATAAAGATAAATCTGATGACATTGCAAAACGAACCAGCGTGCAACATAATTACTCCACTGTTCTAAGAGTTTCTTCCACAGGCAGACTGCTCTGAGACGTCCACATATTAAATGCCTTTATTGATGTATGACAAAGGATGGGGGACTACATTTCACTGGCAAATCATTCAGTCCTTCCGAAACAAAAATGCGGGTGTAGGAAAAACACAGCCTGAACTAGTGTAGTTTATTATAGCTGCGGTGAAGAGGCAAGATTTCAGGAAGGCAGGCGATCTGTGTCCCAAGGCAGTGGAAATGAGAGGCACGGGGGTGTGGATGTCACCTAACCAGCCGTCAGGGCAGGGCCGGCCCAGTACGGGGCTGCTGCTCTCCCTCCCTCCCTCTCTCACCGAAATGTGCTCGGCTTTTTCAGATAAATCTCAGGGTAAACTGCCTCCTGAGTTCTTATTCCACATCCAGAGTGATCCACACGCTACTGCAGAGGGGAAAAGCGTTCAGAGTTAATCGCTGAATACTAGAAACCCGTGCCAGGGGCAGATGCGTGCGGACACACGCTCAGCACCTCCCGGAGCGCATCTCTGACCAGCGAGGCGCGGAAGGCCCGACCCTTCCCTGCGCTGCTACTGACATGAAATACTCAGTCGGCATTCGGGACCCGCGACACCCCCCGCTCTCCGCCCCGGTCGCACCGAACGGGCCGAGCCGGGCCGGGCCGGGCCGGGCCCGCCGCCCCCGGCGCCGGGCGAGCCGCGGCCCGCTGCGCTGGGCGGCCCCGCTCTCACCTGCGGCCGCCGCCGCTCCCGGCTCCCGCCGCTGCCCCGGACCCCGACGCGCGTGGCCGCCGCCGCCCCCCGCCCGGTCGCGGTCGCTGCGCAGCTTCCGGCGCGCTCCGGCCTCCCTGCAGGCCCGCCCCGCTGCCGGCTGCCAGCGGAGGCGGAGCCACCGCCGGGCGGGCCTGGGCTGCGCCGAGCGGGGCCGGCAGCGCCCGAGCTGTTTCTCGCTCCCTCCCTCTCTGCCCCGCGCTCCGCTCCGTCACTCACGCGGTGCGGCGGGAGGGGACGGCGGCGGGGCCGCCCTGCAGCACCTCCCAGGCGGGGTGGGCCCGCCAGCTGAGGCCCGGGAGGCGGCGGCCCCGCAGCGCTCGCCCCGGTGGCGGGGGGGCCGCGCTGGGGAGTTGGTGATTAACCTGCGGGCCATTGAATACCTGCCTAAAGTCGCGCCCAGGGTGGGGTTTAACCTTGTCCCAGGCTCGGTGCCTCCCATGTGACTCTCTGCCCGAGAGCCTGAGGCGGCCAGTTCTGCTGCTGCCGCCGAAGCGCTGCGGGGATGCGCAGCTCCCTGTTGAAAATCTCTGCTCTAAATCTCAGCCTAGAGCCCGCCTCGCAGTCGTTTTTGGAAGTTTCAGGCTCAAGAGGTCGAGGTGATGTGGGGGTCTCGGCAAGCGTCTCTGCAGCAGCAGCTGTGGGCTGCAGGAGCTCGAGTGTTTGTGGCTGGCGCTTGAATCCATGCTGGCCCCTTTTCCTCGGGCTGAGCTGCAAGGAGCTCAGCAGCTGCGGCATTTAGGTCAGTGCTCCGCTTCTCTTGCGTCAGGAAAGCTGTCAGTGCGGCCCCAGCCTCCTGCTCCCCGGGGCGGCAGGAGGGAGTGAGTCAGGAGATTGTTCCAGTGATAGCACAGAAAATACCTTCTCTCCTAATGCCTGCCTCTGCTTTCCTGACACGCTACTCCTGGTTGCGTTTTTAAAAAGCACTTAGCACTGTATGACTTTGCGTTGTGAGATGATGTGTTACTATAACGGGTCCGTCGTAACATCTGTAATTATTTTTTTGCTGTAGTTATTCCTTTAATTTGTGCAGCAATGCTGAATTCGTGCAGCAAGGTTGAATTAATGTTAGAGACTATTTTGTTCTGTTAGAGGAAGTTTTATGCCTGATTGGAGAAATACTGCAATGAAATTTGCAAATAATTATGTCACGAGCACTGATTTTTTTTTTTTTTTTTGTTGATGTTGGGGTTTGCTTCATTAGTGCTTTGATTGTAGTGTAACTTTTACCTTTTCCCAGGGGTGACCAGAGTCTGCCGTTTTGTTTTGGCCTTCCACAACCTTCTGTTTTAAGTGTGTGCAGCCTAAGAGATAATGTGGTTAAAAGGTGTTTACGTGTGTGTGTTTATGCTCTGGAAGGATTAGATAGATGCTTTTCCTCCTTGTTAGCATGGGCTGATTTTGGAAAAGCTCTAGTACTAGATCCCAGTTCTCTGGTAAGTTAGAATTCATGACTCAATACTGTTAAGACTTTTTAAGCTGCCTAATGCCTCCGTTCTCTGCTTTGTCTCCTCCCTCCCACCCCCAACTTTTTTGGTAAATTAACTTATATTTTGGGACAGACATTTTAGCAGGGTCTAGGAAGAAATACTTTACAATGAGGGTGGTGAAAAACTATCAGGTTGCTAGAGGGATGGTAGGTGTCTCACCCATGGAAACATTCAAGGTCATTTTGGCTGGGCTCTGAGCAACCTGGTCTTGTAGATGTCCACGCTCATTGCATGAAGTTGGACTAGATGAGCTTTAAAGAGCCCTTCCAATTCAAAGTATTCTATGACTTCAGATGGTTTTTTTGTACCCCTGAGTATCACAGTAGGATTTATTGGTATCCTTTATCTTTTTTCCTCCCTGACATTCAAGCTGATTAAAGGAAAGCCCGTGCTGCAGACAGAATCCAGAACCTGAGTTTTTCCATATGCTTGAGGAACAGAATTTTTGTGTTGGCAAAGAAAAGAAACAGACATTTTTCATAGAACTTGAACTCATTTTACCATGGAACTTAATTTGTCCTGAACAAAGCAGAATTTCTACATGACGCCGACTCTGCAGTCACTAGGAATTTATGTGAGTGTTCCAGATGTGGACTGGTAATGACTTTGGGGTCTAGTTAGACTGCTGTTTGCTCAGATGGAGGTTTTTTTGGTTTCGATTTAACTAATTTCTTGTTTTATCAATTTCTAGCTGCCTTTTGAAACTTTTTTCATAACATAGAAAGAATTAGGAGGGTTTTAAGATAGAATTTTTGAAGATCCTTTGGTTCAGGCAAGTGAATGAACATCCATGTCTGATTTAACTTCCTGAATCAGGGAATCATCCTCTTGTTGCACTCTGTTCAAGCATTGTTTACCAACTTTGTGACTACATGGGCACAGTGAAGACTCGGAGTCTCCCTCCAAACCCCAAGATGAACTCATGAAATTAGTGTTAAGGCTTGATATATATATATACACAGATATATATGTATCTATGTGTATGTATGTATATATGTGTATATATGTATCTGGTGCTTTCAAAGAGTGACAAATCTGTACAAGAAACCATTATCTGGAACATAGTTAAGAATGTTAGGGAAACAATATTCAGGGCGTTTATTTAGAAAATTGTACTTGGGCTGAGAGCATATGCTATTCATGTGTGTCTTCTAAAAATATTTTCACATGCAAATTACACACCCGCTGGCTGCTCAGTTCTAACCATGTTGTTGCTGCATGATGGTCTCTGAGAAACTGAGAATGGAGTGGGAGGTACCAGCTGAAAATGTTTGCTCTGAAGGTTTTGTTTTTGGGATTTTTACTTCTGCTTGACTTTCCACCTCTTTCCAAAACCTAACATAAGACCATTTCCAAAATGGCACTTTTCAAGTTTGAATTTTAATGTAAGAATAATAAAGTAACTAATTATGTATGTACCTCTTTTTCTCTGTTTAATTGCTTAACTATATTATGTTCTGTTGATCAAGTACAGACCACAAGAAAGCCATTGTCTCAATTTTTTTTGTATATGAAGTCCAGGTGACTCTGATTGTAAACTTTCTTGCATTCCTCAACTATTTTTAAGCCCACAAATTAGTAACATTACTGATTGTGATATATACACATAGTATACTTTTGTTATTGCATTGCAGTATTTTAACCAAAGGGAGAGAGATCTTTACTAAGGAGAGAGAGATTCTAAAATAAGAGGCCAGGGTTTTTTTTGTCAACTGCTGCCAGTTTAAACCCTTTATTTTTTCTGGAGTAAAAACCTCTTACATTTTTATGACTCATTTTCAAAAGTACAGAAAAAAAAAAGCACTGCATTTTTTTCGCTACTATAGTGCCTGTAGCCTTGACAGAACAGGAGAAATTTATATATTGCTCTGAGGTAAAGGTAGATTTCTTTTTTTCTTCTTGGGTCTTATAAGAGTGCCTCTTATTTTGTCATCTTTAACAGGAGAGTGTTTTTTGCTGTGTAGAAAGAGAGAAGCTGAACACTTGACACCTGATGCAGTGCTCTCAGAAATCACTGCAAAGATTTCAATTTGGGAATTGCAGCTAGCCTTCAAAATAATTTCTTAATTTTCATACTATTCTTAAAGTTATTTTACCTCCATTTCCTACAGCCCATAGGCTTCTGACCCCATTCTAGTAGGGAGCAATAGCCAAAAGTTAATTTAGTATTTCTTGTGTTTTCAGAAATGAATTATTTTTGGGAATATTTCTGATGGGAACATACCAGTGATGAAATGTTTTTTTCTGAAACCCATGGAAAGCTGAGTGCTATCTGATATGATCATAGTGATTATGTTGTGCATTTGCGTCCTTAGGAATCTTCCAGTAATTAGGTTATGTTTCTGTGGTGTTGTATTGCTACTCTTGTGAAAATCAGCAAAAAATATAAAATACAACTTAATGTTGATGTAGGAATTTGGGTAAGACTCAGCATGAGGAAATATGACAACAGTCAAACAAAATTAATGTCTTTGTAGTGGCAAAGATATTGGCTAACTTGGTGTTAAGGACGTGAAAAACTTATGTGAAAGTTTGGAGTTGCATTGGTTAAAAGACTTTCAAAGTAAGAAGGGGTACAGCAAGCCAGGTGTTTTGAAATTAAATGAACAAATATTTAACACTTGCCCAGATGTGATATGCTGGTTTCTGGTTTCATACATTAATTGCTCTTTTAAGACAGGTTATATTTGACTCTCCTTTTTGTTTGGCCTTTATACAGTTTTTCTCTTCCTCTGTATGGAAGTCTGGAATTTTTAAGGTGTTTTTAGGTTTAACTGATTGATTTATAGCAGAATTCCAAGATATATTATCAGTAAGATTTCATTCATTTTGAAAATAGTGGTTTTCAGCAGTAGTTGCTAAAGACAGTGTTGTACAGGAATTTAGGAAAACTGGGATGGTGTTAAAGGTGCTATTACTCTTTTGTGTGTGTTTATAAAAGGGAAATTAATACTAAATTATATCTATGCAAGTAAACAATAATTGATATAATGACACTTCCAGAAAGAATTGAAATTGTTTCATTGTTTTCAAAGTAACTTTAACGTCTTCTTTGATAAAAGAAGTGGTAAGCAAATGTATAGTTAAAGTTGAACCTTGTGAATCTTGGAAAAAAATTTCTAAGAATCTTAGCTGCAGAACCCAATTCCTATGTTAGCAGAGCAAAGAATATTAAGTAACACACTCACTGTCCAAGAAATTGGCCAGTTCTTTTTACACTCCATCATGTGATTGAAGATATTTTTCATGTATTCCGGTACTTTCAGAAGGAAGAAGTCTTTTTAAGTAGACTAATTCTAAGTTTGTAAGATGTCAGTTGGTACTGACAAAGGAAGAAAGAACAATGATCCATTTTGTGAAATTTAAAAGTGATATATTATCCATTCTTACTTACTATTTAAACTTGTACTGACATAGCATTACCTGTCCATTAGAGACTTTCCTCTCTGGTACTTGAAGCACTTGAGCTACATTTTATCACCATTATCTTGTGGTTCTCTTCTTACTTCATCTTGGAGGTTTTTGCTGTCTGCAATCCCATTTGACTAAACGTCCTGTGTAAGGATGCTGGTATTGTTACAGCCACTTTACACTGTGTGTGAACCGAGGCTCCAGCTTCTGGCATCTCTTTCAAGTGAGTGCTGTGTAAATGCAAAGAAAGACTGATGCTTATTCTGAGGAGTTTAAAATGCCTGTCCCGTCTCCTCTTTCTGGAATTGTCAGCATATTACATACTTCCCTGATTTTTCAGAGTTGCTTGACCCTAAAGAGTTTGTTAAAGTTGATAGGACTAATTCTGTGTGAGTTTAAAGCCCTTGCAAAATCTTTCCTGTTTCTGAATTATCATGTTGTGGTTTTGTTTGGGTTTTTTTTAATGTCAGAAAAATTTATTTGTATACGAAGTCATTCCTTAGGTAGGGCAAATGAAAGAAAATAATTTGTCTTTATTAAAGTGTAGGACCCCAATGTTTTTATGTGACAGTTTTTATTTGCTTCTGGTGCTGAATCACCACATTATTTTGTTACGCTAGTTGCTGTAAGAATGCATGTAGTTCTTCACCCTCAAATAGGAGACATTTTTGGCCTAGAGACCACTACCCTTTTCTAAATAAATTATTTTTTTTAACTCTCCGAACTGTTTTTAGAGCATTTTTTCTGTAATTCCTGGACCCTGGATTGACAGGGGGTGTAGGGAGTGGATGAATGGGATCAAGGAGGTAACAAAAAATGATTACCTTTTTCCTCTCTAGCCTAAAATATCAATAGTTCAACTTCTAGCTGAATTGAAATATTGCTGAGTTCTGGCTTGCTGATATAAATTTAGCACCTCTCTCCTTCTGAAGTATTGCAAACCATTGGCCTGTTAAGTGCATCTAATTTTATGTCTTCTTCCCTGTCAATCTCTCAACCTTTCTTTGCATTTTAAAATTAGAGATACGTTCCAAAGCTATGGTCGTGTTCAGGACTTGTTCTGTATGAAGCAGGATTTCTACCTTTGCCTTTAGAACGGAAGGGAATGGCTGTAATTGTCCTTTTCAGCCTGACAGTGTTTTTTCCGTAGATCAGAAATGTTATTAACTTGCCACACGGGTAATTTTTATATAATCTGCGGTGTGCTAATGCAGAAGTTTTGAGGTGTCATTCTCTGTACACAATATGGTATAATTGACACAACTCTTTTTTTTCTATTGGTTGCTTTTTTTCCTAGTTAAACTTTTCAGTAAATTCATTCTACACCTTGACCAAAACTCAAAACCACTCATCTGCTTTTTACATGGCAGCAGCACCTAGTAAGGTGTGGCCATACCTGTGTTGGCAAAATACCATGGAGCATCTCCTTGCGATTTTTTTTTCTCTCTTCTCTCAGACAGGGTGCCAGGGCAGGGACTTGTTGCTTGGTAGTCAGGTAATGACCTTCCTTTCTCAACTAGAGTGCCAAACACCACACTTCTAAGAAGGGTTACAAACATGGAAATGCAGCTAGTTTTATTACAAACAACTATTCTAAAGTAATCTTTTTCTTTCTAAAACACAAAAGCAATAGAGTTTATTGTTAAAAGGGAACTTAAATATTTAGTAGACTACTTACCTTTCTTAATCAGAAAAAATATTGAAGTTTCTTCACACAAGTGTATCTAAGCTACACAAGCTATCTAAGGTAGAAAATTGCTGGTGAAGATGCTCTGTCAGTTTGAGAATCTGACTGACCTCTTGGTTTCAGCTGTGGAATTGCTGGCTGGATTATTGTCTCTTCCTGCTTCCTACCTGCATGTTTGAACCATGTCCCTTTCTTTCATGACTTTGTGGTTGATGTGTTTGCACCATGATGTGACCTAACTTCTGACACTTAAACACTGGCGAGAAACTAATCTCTTTTTGTGGATATGTAGGAGAAAATTTTTGGAGTAGCCTATAGTTTAAGTGAATGAGGTCAAATAGGGACAGGCCCTCTATGGCACCTAGCAAATAGCAGTGGCTGCTAATGAATGCTTGGGGAGGGCATGTGAATAATGTCTGGAACTATAGAATTTAAATGCTTTTCTGTGTATTTAAAAATACCCCAGAACCAAGTGTTTTAAAATGACCTTTGAATGGTCCTAAGACCAAAGTTATCAAAGCTGCTAAAGTAAATTTCTTTTTTTTACTTTTACTGCTATTTATTTATTGTTGCTATTGTTACCACTTAAGTAGTGCCTATATTGTTTACAGTAGTGTCCACAGTATCAATATTTGAAGTTATTTAATTCAAATATTAAATGTTCAGGTATTAAATGTTCAAATGAAATAATGATTTAGAGGATGAAGTTTATTTTGTTTGGCAGAGTTAATGTATTGTCACACAGCATAGATAAACTGTCACACTATTTCATGCTTCAGAACAGAGGATATTACTGAACTGATATAAGGCAAATTTATTTTGTAATCCAGCTTGGGTAACCATGTTTTTATAAAACATTTTAAATTTTTTTTTATTACTTGTAGATTGTTTCAGTGAGTGTGTTTTGGGGTGTTTTTTTGGTTTTTTTTTTTTTTGGTTTTTTTTTTTGGTTTTTTTTTTGTAATTAGCAATGCTGTAACATATTTCTTGCATGAAAGAAACACAAATCCAAAATGGAGGTCCTTATCAGAGCAAAACTGGAGGAACAAAACAAAATGGCAGTACTAAAGCAGAGGTTCCCAAACTTCCTCTGCTGAAGTTTTTGGTCACTGACCTTGATATCTAAAGGACTGTTGGGGCCAGTGATGTTAATTTCTCTTTATAGGTATTTTTTTAGGTTTCTAGGTATCTCTCAGAGCAGGACCTCTATCCTACATTCATCAGCCTGTGAACTACCTGAAACCAGGACCCAACCCTGTGCTTGGAGGTTCGTTGCCCCCTACTTCACTCCATCCTTTTGCCATCCATCAAAATCTACCCCGGTACAGTTGGTCCCCTTGGAAAGCTGCTCTCATAACAGTACCTGGTTAGAAGACATTTGAAGTGAAATGCAAGTGTGGTACTGGTTTTGGGTACAGCTGGCAGTGCTGTAATGTTCCACGCTTAGGAATAATGTGTGGCAAGTGACTGGTCCTACAAACCCTTCTGCAGCTAAGTAATCCTATCAAAGGCAGTTGAGTGCATTTGATTAAGGATTACATGCGATTAGTGGTCTGCAAGGTTGAGAGTACAACTTGTGTCATTAATGAGTATTCACATATTAATGCTGCTTTGAGCAGAGATTGAACTAGATGACCTCTGAGGCCTGCTCCTACTAGAATGATTTTTTGATTTTCACACTTGTATTATGCAAATAGATAACTTCCTTTATAAAAAAACCCATTAGTTTGATAAGCTGAACTCTAGTATGTCCCTGCCCATATTTTACCTAATTGCATCTTGTTGTAGCATGGAGCTGCAAGTGTGATCTAAGTTTAAGATTTAAAACAGTAAGAGGAATACCATTGCCTTTTCTCTGTATTGCTTCAAATTCTTTGTATACAGTTTTATGTCAGATTGAATTCCTTGTGTAGCAATTCTTTCCTAGCATACAGTTGACTTGTTCTAGAATTAGATCAGAGTAGAGTGCCTGAAAATTTGATGTTTTAAGTGCAATTGAGGTGTGTGAATGGATTTAAACTTACTCTGCCTAATTCAGGTACCACTAGTACTGAGACTATGGTAACAAAGGTATCAGTGCAGGTTAGCAGCCTAAGAAAGGTTTGAGGTCCTAAAAACTTTCCAAAGCAAAGACTCAGAATATGAAAGGGCGTTCTTATATTAAAAAAAAAAAAAAATCCCAAACTCACTACCACCCCAACAAACCCACCCACTGTTAGAATATGCTATGTAAAATCTGAATACATGTATCTACATATTTATTAAGACTTATCTATTGAGACACAGCTGGTTGAGTTTAATAAACAATAATCCTTCTCACGTGCAGGGAATCATATGGATTTTCTTCTGTGTCTGGATAAACTTTGTACCCATTGATACTTCTATAACTGTTCTCATTTAGTATTGTTAATTACTTTAAGCAAGAAGTTGGTGAAAAGAGAGGAAATCTCTAAACTGCTGCCTGTAAAAGGCCAATCACTTTCACTTGCATGCAATTTGAAATGTTTTTATGTAACATTTTAAGCCTCCCAATAGTTGAATGAATCTCAGTAACAGGCTATAGTTGTTTTCATGTCCTATTGGTAGCTGTGTATTTCAGGAAAACACTTGGTTGTATGCTTTTATTTAAAAATACAAGGAGTGTGGAACATCACAACTAATGTGTTGAGGACCTGACAGGTCTCTTGGGCTTTTAGGGAGTATAGAAGGTAATTAAAAGGAATAAGAGGTGCTAAGAAGGAGTGGAGTTATTTCTTTATGCTGCTTTTCACCACAAGGATGTTGTGGGCATTTTATTCTTTTCAAATAATGTTGATTGGATGTTATCTGATTATGGGATTAGAGTGGCAAAAGGCTGAATGCTAGAATGAAGTGCTAAAGACTCGTAAGTCGGCAGGACTCCATGCTATTCATTCCTTTAGTGGTTCTAAAGGATGAAGTGGCTGATCTGCTAAGAAGAATGCATCTCGTTAGGATGAAATGCTGTGCCAGAAGACCGGAAGCTGTCAAGTGCTGTACATACTGTACTTCTAAACTGAACACAAAGAGCAGAGCTGGAATTTGCAGACCAAGGACTCTTATTTTAATGCTACTTAAGTAGCTTTGAATTCTGCGTGGATAGTCTAGTAGTTCTGTGAGAACAAGATACAACAGCTTTCTATGCAGTTGTATCTTAGAGGTAATGAAAAATACCAGCTGCAGCTGGGGTACTTGTCATGTGTCTGTTGCCTGTGTGTTTTTTTTCCCCTAATAACATGGGCATAGGCTGCAGTCTGTACTTCAGTTTGGTCTCTTTGTGGGTTGGTCTTCTATATGTATCTTCCCAGTACTTGGATTTCTGAAATCTCTAAATTCTTATTAAACTGTAATTGACTTTTCAGTTTTCCTTTTTGATGAAGTCTGAAATCAGGTAGTGGATTTGAAAGTTGGAAAAGGCCAGGCCTAACCTAAGCAGACATGTTTAACTGCATTAATCTCTTCTGTGTTTAGCAGTCTAAACAATTACTAAGTTGCTTGTGTTATTAGTAGACAAGAGAGGGATGGACCTCTATACTGATACACTCACACACCCTGTTTAGTTCATCCCACCTTAAACTTACAGTGTATGGCCTTTGGCAGGAAATTGTACCCCGTGCAATTTGGTGAGGCTTTGCGAGTTGTCATTTTTTATACCATTGTGGGAGTGATGACCAGTGATGCAGAGGTGGAACTGAAAGCTAAAAGCACTCCAGTAGTATGCTATGCTGCTTTCAGTGGCAGAGCTGTTTTTACCTTTTAATTTGCACTCAGGTGGCAACAGCAGTTTCTTAAGTACTGACATTTGTAGCTGCAATTAGCTGTGTCATCTTGTTCCCTCACTTTCCCTCCTGTTGTATTAGCACAGTGATTTGTGCCATCATGCAGTGACTGGAATCAGAAAATTGATCCTGACTTGAAGAGGGGTCTGTGGCAAGCAGCAATTTCTAACCCAAGCTAGTTCCTCACTCTAGTCTAGTGGGTGGGTCCACCAGGAGATGGGATCCTGACCTAAGGATCAGGACAAGCCACAGGAGGGTCCTCTCTCTTTGAACTGGCATTTTACCAGAATAGATGCTCATCAGATTATGCCTCTAGAATCTCTGACTCATCTTGCCCTCAAGTAAGCATCTGAAGTAAAGTACTGAATACATTCTGTAAAATCAGAGAAAGTTGTGAGAAACTTGAAGACAGTCTTCTAAAGCTGTCTGTATTAGCACGATGGTGGTAGATGATATTTGGTATTTTTAGATACAAAATATTTCATGCTGGAAGGAGTAACTTTAACTACTTGAAGATAATTCTATATTACAAGCAAAGGTTCTTCAAAAATATGTGTATCATTATAGATACCCAGGTGAAAGCCTCTTTGAAGAGAAGAAATATATAATGTATAAGAAACATCCCTAAACTGTATTAAAATGGTCCTCTGCAGTAGCATTAAATGGAAGTTCCTTATCTGGGCATCTCTGCTTAGATTAACTGTCTATATGGTTTAATGAATTCATTTATACTTTATTAATCACTGCATATACATGTCCTTTGTGTTGTAAATGCTATTCTTAAGTAACAAGTTATTGAAAGGCAAGTAAAGTATTTCCAGTAACTTTACACAAAATAAGTTGCTATATTTCTTGCTTTCAGTTCAATTATTTCAGATGATCTGTAAATTTTCAATAATGGCAATACATTCATTCTGCCATTTGGAGGAGCCTGTGCCACAGAATAATGATCTGAAGAAAGCTCACTCATTTGCTAGGACGAGTCTTAATTTGGGAATTAGCACTGATGCAGCTCAAGGATGCTTTTTCATGTCCAGGTAAGTTTTTTTAAAATATACTTACTTGGGTTTGATAGGCTGGCATTTCATTTACATTAGCATATATGCTGTATCCTGTCAGAGCCTTTGTGTTGGCCATTTGACACATGAAGTATGATGAAATTAAAAGGCACATGTAGGAGCAGACATACTTATGAGATGAGTGGAGGGAAATAGTCTGGAAAATAATTACAGCACCATTTATTATCTTTGGAGTAGCTGTCAATGGATGTTATGATCTTAATGACACAATTCCCTTTTGCTGCATGCTTTTTCAGACTTGTTGTATGTGTTTATTATATAAATTCAGTATTTTGCGAAGCCCGAGTTGTTGTTTTGGATCAAAATGTTATTAAGTCTCACATCATTCAGAGGCAGTAAAAAGGAAGGTACAGTTAGGTTTTCACAATTGTAAAATTTTCTTCTTAAAAAAAAGTCAGCGTTGGAATTTTTAAAAATTAATTTAAATCTAATTTTTTTAAAATGTGTTATTAAATCTTGGCATTGTAACACCTGACCAGGATTTAATTTTAGACTAATGGATTCTGTGTGTAGTGGGTTTTTTTTTCAAGATATCAAATTATTATTACAACTTAATCATGACTTCACAGCACAAGTTTGTTTATAGTAATATTCTGTATGGGAGCTATATGCAACATACATTCAATAAGAACTATTAGCAGTAAATTAATAAAATGTAAATATTTAAACAGGCACTTGAATTTCTTGTGTTCTCATTGTGAAATGCGGGGATTCCCTAACTGGTAATGGGTTGGTGTTCCAACCAGCAGCCAAATAAATGATAATTTATTGAAAAAAAAAACAACAGCCAAATGCTTCTTATCAGGTAGAGTACAATTAGTCAGCCTTTTCAGTGGTGCACAAATCGAAAATCTTTTAATGATATCTGTCTACTTTGTTAGACAAATTATTAGTTAAATTACTGGATCACTTGCACCTTTCTAGATGCAAATACGATCTGAAAAGCCTTAACAATATCATTTGGCATGCAAAAAATCTTGCAGAATTAAATTGTTTTCAAATTTCTCAGGTATATTACTGTGGTATCTTTGGGATCTGGAAACAGAAGCTCCTTTCTGCATGTTTTTGTGCACGTTTGACTTCATGTCAGTGCCTTCCTGGTGGAGAACTGATGCTGAGAACTTCAGTGACATAGAAAGAGCATCAGGTTTTTTTGAGTGTAAGCCTTTAGTTTAGTCCTCTCATTCTTGTAGGAAGCATGAAGGTGTTGTTTTAAATAAATGCTTTATAAATATAATGGATAATTAGAAGTCAGAAACTAGTTTAAAATAGCTTATGAACTCTTAGCGTACTCCAAACAGGAACAGGAATAGCAGTAGTGAAAAGGATGCTGTTGCTTCAGTGTACTTCTAAAAATTGAAATGCATGTCAATAAAATCATCACAAACCAGAATTATCTGGTCCTATTTTGCAGTATGAATGCTGTGAATAGTGTTCACTAGATAGAATTTTAAGTTGTTTTTTTTTTTTTTTTTTAATGATACAGAATTATAAAAACTGAGGGCTTTGGTGTATCCAAATTTATTTTTAATGTAATTGAAGAACAATATTTATTCTTAAGCTTATTAGGTCCTGTTGGTGAGAATTTATTCTAGCGGCACATGAAATCAAACTTTAATGGAACACAGTTCCATTGAATCCAAAGTAGGACAAGAGTAAAACAAAAACCAAGTTCTGTATTATTAATAACAATGCTTATGGTTTCTATAATATGGATATTGAGAGCAGCAAGTGTATTTTTTTCCAGACTCCTTCAGCAGAACTGTTATTTTCCTAACACAATCTCTGGTACAAGGATAAAATTGGGTTTTTGTCAAAGAACAGAGTCCTGTATCTGAAGAGTAAGAAGGTAAGGTATTGAGATTATATCATTTCAGTAAGCAGTTAACAGTAATTTTGGTTATTTGTTACTTTGCACAGAAATATACAAAAATACTTGATTCATCATGCATCAGGAAGTCTCAAACATTTTATATCAGTTCCTTTTTGCTGCTGGGGTTTTTTTCTCCTGTTATATCTCATGGGTGGAATTTCTTAAAGCATTCAGCTCTGCTTTCTAAATGTGTTTTCTGTGAAATCAATGATCTGACCTGAGTGGGAATGAAGGTTGGTTTATCTTTGGTGAGTCAAAGTTAAGTTGTCATTAAGTGATGTTGAAATACCATCCTTCAAATGCTAGGTCCTTGACATTCAGTGGGATGACAATCTCAGAACTGACTACTGGGGACTCCCAAGCTACAGATCAGGTAAATAACTTCTTTGGAGGAGGAAATTAAAGGTGTCTTATTTCCAAAATTATGATAATTAAGTAGCAAATTGTGCAACTTAAACTATAAATATTTCCCACTTAACATTTCATTTAAAATAGATATATCTATATTTGTGAGAGGATTTGTTAGTTGCAGTTTGAGCCTTATATAATTATCTAACATTTCAGCAGTACTGTTTCTAAAGAGGATTTCTATACTGACACAGAGCATGAATATCTAGTTCTAATCTAATTTTCCAATGTGAACCTGTGTGTAGTTGGTCCAATCACTGTGATTTTCATTTTGCAGCAATGTCTTTTGATATTGAATGTATAATTTAGACCTAACAGTTTCCATATTAGAGGAAGTTATAGGGGCTCTGTTCAGATCATAGGATTAACTTGGTTTATTTCCTGCTTCAGCTAGTCCCCACTTTCTCCAAAGACAGGATAACTCAGTTTGTGTTGTGACAGCTCAGCGCAGTTTGTAACAGAGAGCCTTGACATCACCCAGAATTGGTGCTGCTGTACTTTATTTCTGCTCTTGGAAAGTACAGCGGTGCTGCGGCCTCTTTAATGGGGGCAGGAAACTTGGAGAGGAACGGTGTACAATGGCAGCAGGAGCTGCTATGGCCATCTCTGGTAGCATGTCCTAGTTCATGATCCAGGGTCCTCTTTTAATCTGCTTTATGGGGGGAATGGGGAGGAAAAGTGGAAAATAGTTCTGTAATTGTTAAAAAAAGTGGTACGTTTTCCTTGTTAAAAAACAAAGTTTTTCTTCTGTCATAGTGTTTCAAAGAGAAAACAGGACAGATTTGGGTATTTGTTTTTAAGACTTATCCAATTTCAACTATAGACTTGCTTCCTTGCCGCCTTCAAAACCAGGAAAATAATATAAAAGAATCAATATTTTAAGATCAAGAATAAAAATAGGGAGTATTTTAAGATAAAAGATTACAATAAATCAAAGAAATATTTGTATTACCTTTTGAGATATTTAACTTCAATGGACTGTTAACATCAATGAGACGTATTTAGGATTTTCTGTGTTCAGTTCTATAGGCAATATAGAATGTGAGAGAAACAGCTGCATCTGAAATAGATCATCTGCCTTAAGAAAGTAAGCAAGTATTCCTGCCAAGCAATTGGATAACCTAAAATACAAGTGGCTTTATAGTAGCTTCCTAATTAATTTAAGTGCATAGAAGGAGTATTGCATGCTTGTAAAAAGTTGTGTGTTCCTAAGTGGTGAAGAATACAAGGTTTGGGGTTTTTTTCCCCTGTAGAAATGAGTAATCCCTGTAATTCTTGCCACAGGATATACTAAATGACTGGGGTGAATTCCTGTACCTCTTGAATTTGTAAAGTTATACAAAATCTGATCAACAGCTACTAAAGTTTCTTTATAATTAAAAAAAAGTCATGTAGCACACAGCACATTCAATCTTAGAGAAGCAACGTATTTTAAGAGACAGTTCATATCACTGTAGGTAAGTTTGTGCCATTAGCACTCTAAAATAGAAATATTTGAGCAATACATAAGCTGTGCGTGTACCTCTCTCTGTGGGTAACCCATTGATATATTAGTTTTATAGAATATCTTTGTTCCACTGTTCTTTGGAACACAGCTTCCTGCCCACTCAGAAAGACGGATCTTAACTTGTTCTTGGGACTTGCGTTCTAAGAATGTCTGAGAGGGCTCACGTGGGAGCTGATGTGGAGCTTACCTTAGGGCTTAGCAACAATGGCAGGACTGGATACCACCCAATGTGCTGCACTGATTTTGGGTCCCAACATCATGATTTTTTTTTTTTTTTTGAGAGCAGACCGAGAAATTTGTTATCCTGGTCATGAACATCTAGCTTAAATGCTCTTCTCTTGGATCACACTCTTTTATTGCTGTCATATTGAACTGGTTGGTTTTGTTCTTGAAGGAGGAGAGTCTGTTGCCTTATCTGCAATACACCTATGGGAGTTTCAGGGTCTTCCAGGAGAGGATATCTCATTCCTGACATGCTCACCAAGAAGAGGTGATGGAGCCTGTGTGGTGCTTTGAAGATTAACTTCATTATCATGCTGTGGAATGGTAATTCTTTATGTTATGGAATACCATCAAAACGAGCAGTGAAGTTGATTTTTAAGGAGTAAATTTAAGTATTGCATCATTCAAGGTGCTTTCTATAAGTTAAAAATATTTTATATTAATTTTTACAGAATTCTGGAGTATTGAGAAATGATAATTTCTGTATATAATAGACTACATTTATTGGTAGGTCTTTAAAGTGGTCTGTTAACTATTTACAATAAGATAATTTTTCAAAATAGAGACATTATATGTGTTTACCAAGATTTTCTGTGTAAGTATGCCATTCTCATTAATTTATGATAGCATGCTATACAAGAATTGTAATGTTAAGTTTTATTTTCAACTTTTTTCTTACTGAGGTTCATCAACTAGCAAACAAAAACCCCCTACTTTTAAGCACCTCACTTTTTAACACATATCGATCCCTGAGACGAGAACATTTATGCTACTAAAAGTAAATATTTTACTATTTTTTTAATAACTAATATACCTGTCAGTACGTGTGCTAGGTTATAGTCGCTGCAGTTCTTATTCTTAGTGAGGCACATACAGTTCACCTTTGATACATAAGTTACAACTGTAGATATTTCACTTTATCCAAAGATTCCCAAGAGCAGAGGTTCTTGCTTTAGGGGGAGGCAGAGGTAGACAAAACCGATGCATTTCTCTTGAGTCTGTTTTGGAGGCTGTTGTAAAGGAGTCACAAGTAAAGAGGAAAATGCATTCTTGTTTTATCAGGTGGTGCTGGTGTCTCAACTCAGTTGTCTGGGACTTACCATTCATAGTGTCCCAGGGACAACACAGTAGTTAAAACTTTTTTTTTCCATTTGTTTTGTCCTTTAAAGAACACTTGGATAAATAACTAAATTTTATTCCTTTAGAAGTAAAAAAAAATGGGTTTTTTGTTTGTTTGTTTTAACAGGGCAGCTGGAATTGGCAGATGCTTTTTCAAACAACCAAGCAAAGTGCAGGTACGTGTGGAAGTACTATTGTGCAGTTGAACTAAAGGAATTTTGCTGGATATCTGCTTGCCTGTTATTGTCGTTGGCAAGTTACAGGTAATTTCCAAAGCTGTAGTCTGGCAGGGGAGGAAGAATTGCTTTTATGTGTATTTTTCAAGCCAAGACACACAATTTTCTTTTACCAGTGTTTTTACAAGGATTCAAAATTAGTGCAACATTGTTGCTAAAAATTAGTTTTAAAAGAAAAGGAGGTATGAAGAGAATAGTGACACCTGAATGGCACAGAGAAAACTTTTGTCAGATGAACTCTTGACAGAATCTGACAGAAATTCAAAGTCTAGTTTGTGTCTAGTAATTCCATTAGCATTTCAAAGGTTGGTAATGTTCTGGGAATGACACAGGAGGGATTATTTTTAAGTTAAGAATTAATACTCTAAAGTGTTGCCTGTGCTAGGAATATTGTTGCTATCTTGCAATAGGTAAATGGACTATATCTGAGACACTTGGTTTACTATCAGACATTTCTCTACTTTATCTGTACTGGCATAATTAAAGTATCAGCCATCTTTACCCGGTGTGAATAGAGCTGTATCAGTATAAAACTGTATCTGTTGGTAGCTTATTTTCACATTGAAGGAAACAACCTAGGACTGCTGGCCCAATTCCAGGAATTGTTTTTAATTATATTGCAGTTGCTATGCCAGTATAAACTATTCCTATTGCAGATCTTGCACCAGATGAAAGTGACTTCAATCTAGTTTATGTGCCCTTATCCATACAGCCTCATAAAAAATTACACCACTTCAGTTTCACATATTTGATTTTCCTTTGTAGGCAGACTTGCTCTTTACACTGACTTATCTCCATTTATTCTAAAAGATATAAACAATGGGTGTTTTGACAATGAAAATGCATCTTCTGTTCTGATATAAGCCTAATCTATTCAGTTAATGCTACAACAAGTACATTTACTGTGAAGGTTAAAATATTTCCATCTGGCTGTGTGCACCAGAGCCTATAGAGCAGCTGTCCCCGTCCTGAATCCTAACAACTCTGTTAGTCAGCATGGAGTACAATGTTTTACGTACTCTTATCAACTTTCAACTGCTCTTTTATAGATCAGTGTCTTGCCTCACTTTTTCTACTATCTAGTATGTGTTATCTAAGAAAGAGTTAGGAAGGTTGAAGTTGGAATATAAGAAATTGGATCACTTGCAAATAGGGCTAATCTGCATGTGCTTGTTGTATACAGATATTGTTGAGTAGATTCAGATCATCTCTGTTTTAAAGCTACAAGTGAGGGAGAGATCTTTGATCCCATCTTAAAATGTGGGGAGCGGATTGTGATGGGGAAAAGAACTGAAAATAAGTATAAAATAATTCTAAGTATACTGCTCTAAGCCTGGGAGCAGTAAAGAAAGGACTCGCCAGAGACTAACAGGAACAGAAAGAGTCAAAAGCCTGGGGACCTTTGACCGTTCAGAGAACATTCACTAACTTTAATTAGTTGTTGTCTGTCCTGTGCTTACTGACTGTTTCTTCCACCTCTAGCTGTCCATTCTAACTCTTCACTTCTGCTTCATTTCTGCATACTACATATGCTTCCTCCCACCCAATGTGCCCTCCTTACCCTGTACCTCCTTCTAAGTTGTTTGCAAGTAAAAGCCACCTGCAAAGTAGAACTACCGTTATGTTTACTGCAGTCCTGCTGTTTGTGCTGTGTGTGGACTTTTCCCCTGTGCTGTCTTACCTGTTTAGACTTGGCTTTTTTTATGTGGTTGGGGACATTTTACTGTTCTGTGTATTTGTTCTATCCAGCATAAATGTAACTTCAATTTTCATAAGTCCTTATAAGACCTTAAGTATAGTTTGGAATAATGCTCCTTTATCCTATTCTTTTATAAAAATCATTCATAGGCAAATGACCACTCTTAATGAGATTAAATATATGAGATTCCATGGGATAAAAAGGAATTTTGCTTTTCAGTTTTTTTATAGGTGAACCAGTGATTTAAAAGTATAATGTTACAGCTGTTGTTATATTAGTGTCCAGCATAATAGGATGAACATTTCAGAATGAATTTTCTATTTGCTGTGTTTGCATTGTACATGCAGTGGTTTGCAAATTGCTGGTTTGTTTTCCATGTCTTACAGCTATATAATTTGCTTTCTAAAAACCATTTTGGTAGGTGTGGGTTGCTTGTCAGAAATCCATTCTGAAGCTTGAGTGCAAAGGAAGCAGAGTACTAATGATGAATACGAATGGATATCTTAAGGATAACAATGGATCTTCAAAAGCAGTGGCATTCTGGTAAGAATTTGCATGTAATTTATTAAACACTACGTGATAGTTCTCAGTAAAATGTGTTTGTGTCTCTCTCTGAGGATTTGTCTGATGAAATTTTCTTCTAAAATGTGAAAAGTAGGAGGATTGCTCTATATCATGAAGTATTTTAAATTCTGAAGCATTGTACAACAACTTTACTTAGCATCGAGTTCTTGCATATAAAAATAGTGAAAACATCTTTTTAGAAAAGTAAGTTATTTTAGAGAGGGAGTTAAGTGGCCATTTATGGCTCACTGTTTGTGAAACTGTTTCTCTGAACATTTAGAACTGAATATTTTTGAACTGTCATTTAAAAAAAACCTGCTTTTTTCACTCGGAGTATAATCTCTTGTTGCATATTTCACCACTACACATAAGAATGTTCTAACAGACATTGCATCCAGCTTTGCAGGAGATAAAAACCACATAATTATTGACAAAATAATCATAGCTGGAAACTTTTAATCCTCATATTGGTTAAAAAATATGGCAGCATGCTAATATGGTACTGCTTTGTTAGAAGTTTCACACCATTTAAATAATGTACACAGAAAATGCAAGTAAAAACACCAATGAAAGTTTTACTGTAACTGCTGTGTAGTACAAGAGATTCCTTTAAATTTAGTATTTGAAATAACTTAGGCCAGTAATTCCATAAGCAAAAATCTTTGCTTCCACCAAAGCTGGGTATATTCTTATCTGTGTAGATAATGACTTCTTGAAATTAACAAAGAATTTCTGCCTCTTTTTCATCCTACTCTTTGAATCCCACTGGTGGTTTATATTGAAGTGGAACTGTTCTGGTGGCAGCTGGTAGTTCTTAAAGCTTCTTGGCATTTTGAGGTGTTGGATGTGTGTATGCTCTGTAGTAAAGAGCAGCACAGACACTGCAAATTCTTCTGATGAGCAGTTTCATAGCTGAGATAGCTGTTCCAGAGCGTGCTACTTCCAGTGAAATCACGGTTTAGACACACCTCAGGAACTCTGAATTTTGTCATGCTCTGCAGAAAGCAGCGGTGGCTCGGGAGCCGATTGACAGGCGGATTAGGCGTTAATCGGATAGTCTGTGCTGGTCAGAAGGGTGGTCATTCATGTCTCAGTGGTAGCAGTGGGCCTGTCAGAGGCCTTAGCCCTGCTGAGAGGCAAGGATAAGGAGCTCAGACACATCCTTGTGCCAACACAGATACTTCCCATGGGCACACAGTGAGAGCAGGAAAATGGGTGTATTCTTGTGGGGATGAACATCAACCAGGCTGTCAGAACACAGCTGCTCTGGACTCCACTGCATAGTATAGATGTACATCATAACAGGTACCTAGGGCAGCATTAATTGAAACAGAGCATCCTCACTAAGATACTGGAGGAGGAAGGACAGAGAATGCCTGGTAGGTGAGCTCCTGAGAGGTCTGTGGCCACACTCCAAAGGTCTGATATAAGAGTATAAGTTAGACCTAAAAAGATTAATGTAAGCAGTCTCCTTATTTGAAATTAGATTGGCAAGCAAGGTGACTAAGAGTGACTGTTTAATATCCCTTTCTGTAACATGCAGTTTTTCATTTTTACTTTTGAGGTAGGAGGGAGATAAAATCTGGCCTTCAAAGTACTATGTACTCATTCCAGTGCCAAAATATGAAACACAAATCAACATCTTAAATTTAGGGGCATACTAGGTTCCCTTAACTGCTCTTGGACAAATATGCATAGATATATGAATGTAAACTTAGATAGCTGCTTTGATGTACTTATAAATGGTTTTTTTGGACTGCTGTTATTCTGTGGGCTAATGTAGTAAGTAGCTAATGGAGAAGCCAGGCTGCTTTACAACTTTTTTTTTTTATTTTTCTTGCCAGGCTAATCTTTCACTCAGGTTCATTGCATGTCAAGTGTTTGGTTAATTATTTTATCTTATTTATATTTTAAACCAACTTTTTTTTTTTTTTTTTTTTTTTTTTTTGAGTTGGGGGTGGAGGGGAGGGGGCTAAGGGTATGGTGTTAAGTTCTTAGTTTTAAATTCCCTCAGATTCTGAAGGAGGATGCCAGTGAAGAAAAATCTACTTTGCAATTTCCGTATTGTAGAGATATCTTATCTGTAGTTGCACTAGTTATAAAAGTCAAGTCTGGAGTGTCTTTTTTTGTTGATCTTTTTGAGGATGACTGTACTGACTGGTATGGTTTCAAATATAAACAGTTAAGTTACTGACTTGTAAAAGAGTTGACTGCCATTTTCTGCTTAATTCCTCTTTTGCTAAATAATTTCTGTGATATTAGCTTCATTTGTGACACTTTAGTAGGTGCAGGCCTGAGGGGGAAAATGTTATAGTTCTTTCACAATTCATTGGTTTGTGGATATTTCTGTTATGTTGTTTCCACACTGAATGACTCATATGTTAAATGAACATACCAGCCCGAAGGCATGCCCTTGCTATTGCAGCCCACAGTGCAACTTGATGCCATTGCACATTAAAACGTGGAAGATGTTCATATCCGTTTGAATCCTTGGGAAGTTTTGTGTGCTTTGGCCACGTGTGCTAGCAGTTACTCAATGTATGTTCTCTCAAAAAGCTGTGGTTTACTATGTCTGATTGCTCTTTTTCAAACTGTTGATTTGCTGTGTTTGTAAGTTACATCTGTCTTGTGAGCCCAAGTTGGAACTGAGAAATAGTAATTTTTAGTTGTGTGGGGTTTTTTTCTTTTAACAAGGTGGTACAGTTTCATTGTATTCATTTCCAGACTATTTGAGGAGAGGCTACAGAAGTATCTGATTTGCATTGCCACCTGTGCATTTTTTTGAGTATTTTGATAGATTCAGAGATTGTTTTATCTTGGAAGTTGATAGCACAGATCTAATTCTCCACGTTGTGAAAACACTAATTAGTGTTAGATTGAACAAGTTGGACCTGATTACCTTAGTTCTCCTTGAATTTTGGTTTTCTTACCCATTTGATTTTTCATTGTTTAATAAGAATGTGAAAGACGAAACAGATTTACCTATTGATGAAGTCACAAAAATTATCACATTATAGAAGCTTCACATCAGAATGTTGCTAGGAGCAAGCTCTTTAATATCTGTAATAGGGATATGTGCACTCACAACAGTGAGAGGAAAGGCTTTGAAAAGTATGTGAAGTAAAACTTTTTTGATATTGTTTTGAATCTTTAGGATGTTTGGGCTTTTTTCTTGTGCTATATAGTGGTGTTAACTCTAAGCCTTCATTGATTCATATAGTGAAAGTATGTCTCCAGAATTTTTGTTCTGTGGTTTTGTTTTGTGGTTTTGATAGGATTGAGACAGATTGCTATGACAGGATAGATAAAACATATCACAAGTCAGGTATTTTGGCTTTTAAATAATGATCCTGTTCTGTCGTGCATAGTATGGAGTACAGGAGTTTACGCCAGAAAGAACAGATACATTTATGGGAAGACCACTCTTCAATATAAATTTTTCACTCAACATTACTCGTGGCTGTACATTGGATGTGACTTTTTCTGTCTGTGTCCCTGCTTGTTTTTGTGAGGAGGTTGTCACTGCTCAGCTAACTCTAATTTCACTGGTGGGGCGTTTGTCTGTCCGGTCCCGTCAGCTTTGGCAGCAAGACTAGGCACGCTAATGAAAACTGTGTGCAACTGTTAACAACATTGATCACAATTGCACAGGAAACACTGGAAGGCAATAAAAGCAACTGTTTCAATCCTGTTTGCAGTTCTAGCACCCCCAGATGAAGTCATCTGAGGTCACTTAAGGATGTCTCACTAAAATGGTATCAAAGCATATAAAGTTATAACAAGTCTACTGTTTAATTTTTAGGTGGTGTTGATATATAGGCAAGACGAAGGAGGTAGCAAAGTGAAAATACATCAGAAATTACTGCTCTGGCCAGCTGATGTGTTTGAAAGAATAGTGTGAAGGTGCAGAGTGGTAATCTTGTTCAGTTGCATTTGCTTTTAATAGACCATAGTAAAACAGCAAGCCAGAAAGCAGACATGCTGGTGTATTCCACATCTACAGGTGTAAAAGCTAGCTCGCCGGACTTCTTGCAGTCTCCTCTCTTCCTAGTCTTTGGCTTGTCAAGAGCCTTCCTTTGTTTGCCAGGAGGGATCCTGAAATCATGCTCGTGTCTGCTCCAGCATGCACAGTTTTAGTCCTGCTCCCTCACTTTCCCACCTGTTCCAGAGCATTTTTTCTGTTCGTGTACTGCATGGTGAAGATGAGCAGCTCTCAGGTAAAGCTCAGGGGCTGAGTTTTGATGAACAAATCAAGGTTTCCTACAAGTACAGAAGGAGCATCGATGTTAGGGGCTGGTGGTACCATCCCCTTCCTTTCCCGTGGAATCCTTTTCTCTCGGGGGAGGGAGGCGGTGGTTTCACCCGTGGCAGTGCTCAGCTCTGCCGGTTACCGGCGCACGGACCGTGTTGCACACGAGCACGTCCGAGTGGCCTCAGGGTGTTCCCCGTGAGAGCTGTCCCCGAGCCAGCGCGGCCAGAAAGTTCTCATTGGGACGGTCCGGGCATCGCCTCGGTGCCTTCAGCCCGCGGGGCCGGGAGGCGAGGGGCTCCTGCCCGGGCTCGGCGGCATTAGGGGCCGCGGCCGTGCCTCCCTCCTCCGCAGGTTGCTGGAGGGACCTTTGCCCGCCGAGCAGCGCGCCCGCTCCGCGCTGCCCTCATGTCAGGTTTCTTTTGTTCATTTATTGCAGAAACTCAGCTCTTCCTTCGGAGGTTATGCAGGGGATTGTGGCACGTGTTCGCCTTCAAAAGCGTGCTTTGGCTAACGTTAAAATACGTCGAATTTAATGCCTACATGATACTTGCACTACAAGACTTTTACAGCAGCTACTATGTATCCTGCTGAAGTCTTTGTAGTACAATATTTGAAACAAGACCGTAAGAATAAGGGTTCTAACTATTAAATTAGAATTAGACTTGAGCAGAAGTTGATATATTATCTGACACTTGGCTTCTGTAGTGCCTGTCACAAAGCTCTTAAA